TTATATTTAATGTCTTTTTAATCTCATTAAAGATTACATTTTCGACTGTAACTAGCAACTAAATGTGATGAATGGACAATCATATTTTATTATTAGATACTCTCATTGAAATTAGCAATTTTCAACTGAAATAATATTAAATGTAAGTGAATTTTAGTTTTATAGAGTCCTTAGACAAACAGAAAGAAAAACAAAAAAGAAAAATAAAAAATCTGGACGTGTTCTATTTTACTTCTAACATCCCTCTGACTCGATTTTTAACATTTTTTTTTTCAATGTACAGACATTCGACTTTACAGTTTTATTATATATATATAGATTGCAAGTTAATGTCAAGAATTTGCAAGTTCAGTATCAGATATTTATTTGTAAGCACTCGTATTATTTAGCTGAAATGTTGTAGAGTCTCGTAGCTTCACTACTAGTAAACGCTACGTCATAATGCTACGAATACTACGACGTAGCTCCAGTTACAAATGCTTATATTGCGTTTCCAAAAAACACATATCGTATTGTATTACTAGATTTATCCCGCGACTTTACTCGTATGAATCAGTATATAAAATATCTTATGTACTAAATTAGGATATAACCCATCTGTGTACCAAATTACATTGAAATCCGTTCAGTAGTTTTTGCATGAGAGAGTAACAAACATACATCCATTCATTCAATGTTACGAACACTTGCATTTATAATATTTTTTTTTAATGGGTGAAAATGGAATGGTAACCCCGCCCGCGCTATCGGTATACACTGAGGTGGCACCAGTGGAAGATGATAGTTGAAAATGAATGTAGGTCAGTTGGCCCACCACGATGAATTCGACAAGAATTAACCATGATGGTTTCTAGTGGGAACCATGTGGAGGTCGACCTGAGAGAGTATATTGCTAGCGATGGGCCTATTAGACTTCATTACTAGCAATCCCCTTCTCCCCGCATTTATAATATTAACTTATTATTTATATTACGGAATAGCTAAGAACAAGCAATTTCCTTTCTTCTTATGCAAATATAATTAGTAAAAAGAGGATAAAAGATACACCATTAGCCGCTATTTTTCTCAGTTCATAACAGGCTAGTGTATAAAAAATGTTTGGTATGTCAATTATTTGTCAATGACAGACTTTACATTACTAGATTATATATTCGACACAGTTTATGTAGAAAGTATGCAAGCAGGTTGTATCTAAATTTGGTAAGGTTATACGGACGTATAACATTTTCTATACACTAGCCTGCTATGAATTGAGAAAAATAGCAACTGATGATGTATTCTCCGTCCTGTTTTTACTAATTATATTTGCATAAATCATACGGCAACCATATGATTTACAGTTTTTATTTTATCATTCCTTCTATGTAATTCCTTGTTCTTAGCCGTATAGTGCGCACGAGAGGGATGGAGGGGAGGGAACAGTTGGTGGACTACTAACCTGATGATGGGATGGGATAGTGTGGGTAGCGGGAAAGCATTGAATAATATTAGCACAGGATCGTTACAAGTGGCGCGACAAAGAGGAGGCCTGTACCCTGTAGTGGGTTGACGTGGGCTGATTACTTGTATAGATCTTTAACCGACTTAAAAAAGGAGTATGTTCTCAATTCTACAAGTTGTATTTTTTCATGTTTGTTACCTCATAACTCCGTCAGTTATAAATCGATTAGGAAAATTATTTTTTTTTTTAATCTGAAAAGATATACTTGCAGATTGTACCCATAGAAATTATATCAAAATTTATTTACTAATTTACCAGAGGGAGACTTTGTACAAAAGTCGTTTGCTTGGATACCTCTCTCTCATTCGTGTTTCTACCGTAAAACAGTTGTGTTTGCATGGTTGTGTTTCCGTTTGAAGGGTGGGATATGGTAGTAAATTTACAGAGTACAGAGGAATAACACCTGAGTCCTCAGGAATGGCAATGCATGGGGGGTATCATGGGCGAAACAGTACAGTCTGGTATGTCCACGGTACAGCTCATGTCTATAGGTGACGGCTACCACTTTACATCACGTGGGCCGTCAGCTTGTTTGCCATTGTAAGTTGTATAAAAAAAAATAGTTTTGTTTTAAATCATAGTAACTGGTTTTATTACAACTGAAATCGGTGTTTGGACAATTGAAATTGAAATTTAATGGACGAGGGATAGACAGCAAAATATAGAAGCTTAACTGCAGTTGCTAGCCCACCTGCCAAGCGTGGCAACTGTTAACAACGCCCCGCCCTCTCAATATGTACAGGCCTATATTTTTCATTGGACGGTTAATGGCTGATATATATATATATATATATATATATATATATATATATATATATATATTATAAAAATAAATAAATAAATCTTTTATTTATTTTAAAATTGATAACAAGTTACAATTTCTAGTTTTGAATTAACAAATACATAAAGATAACGGCTCATGCATTTACATCAGCGTTCACCTTATTAAAAATAATGAGCGCTTCGCAATCTGACGCACTCAATTTGCGCGTAATAAAATTTTATATATCAACGTGACAATGGTAATCCGATGCAATAAACCGTTCCTGCATTAAGGTTCCAACACTAATGAAAGATCCATGGTTGCCATTATCTGATATGGTGGAATCCAATAACACCATCGAGGGATCTTATAAAAAAATTCGTCAGCTTAGGTTTTAGATGTAAGAAACACTAGGTGTCTTGTCGTATAGGGAGGTCAAAGATATGGCCTGGAATAGAGCTGGCTGGAAGAGAATGCATGAATTAATTGCACCGACAAGAGTTTAAGTTTCCTACTCTTAAATAAAAAAAAAAGTTTTAAGCCTTGATTTAGCAAATATATCTCATCTATTCTAATATTATAATAGCCGTGTGGTCCCGCTATAGAATAAGCCACCCTTTCCTTTCCGACAAGTTACGGTGATTCGCCGTAACTTCAACGTCAACGTCAACGTCAAAACAAATTAATATGTATAAATGTCATATATATTTGCTATTTGTATATACTAGTTGACATCCAGTGGTCGAAATTCGACCATAACGTATATTGTAATAAATGAATTTACTATGGTTACGTTTGACATTCAGTGAGACATTCAGTAGACTAATAATTCTAAAGACAAACAATATTAATCTATTCTCAATTTGACCACAGACTTTAACAATAAACGAAAAGAGTATATACACGTGTGTGTAACAAATATATGGTAGTGTGTGTAATGATCTTCTTTTTTATTTAATGTATTTTGTTATGCTTAATTTACAAAAAAAAAATATTAGTATTTGCAGAATACTAATATTTTTTTTATTATTTAATAATACTATTATATAAGGATGCAGTCTTTCCCTATATAAACTATAAGTATACAGTCCGTGCAGTTTCCGTAAAGAGGGGTACAAAGTTTCTGCTTATTTATTATATATATATATATATATATATATATAAATTTTAGTATTATATTTATTTTTACTACTACCACATTCGAGTATTCTAACATTACAAAGGTTTTTTGAGAGTAAATGCTTTTAGCATTAAGTCCACTTTGTACATATACATATATTAATAAATAAATAAATAATATAAAATAAGAAAAAAAAAATCTGATAGGAAACCAGCCCATATTTGTAATAATATAACTAATTACTCTTATTGTTATCTTTTTTCTCAATAGAAAAATAATTCGTAATTTCCTTTCCATCCCATAAAAGTGATAAATAATCTAAGAATATGCCAGTCACTTTGTGGTACGTCAAATTGTAACATTCTTTTTTAATTATCGTAATAATAATAAAACCTTAAATATACAACGGGATTATATTATATAACGCCATCTAGTTTAGTTTGAACTAAGTAGAGCTTGTGTCGTGAGTACATAGTTTATCAGAGAGAGACTTTGTACAAAAGTCGTTTGCTTGGGCACCTCTGTCCCATTCATGTTTCTACCGTGATGCAGTTGTGTTTGCATGACTGTGTTTCGGTTTGAAGGGTGGGTTATGGCAGTGAATTTACAGGATACAGAGGAGTAACACTTGAGACCTCGGGAATAGCAACGCATGAGGGGTATCATGGGCAAAACAATAAGAGCAAAACGGAACATTTTAAGAGAAAAATGTTTGACATAAAATTTTTAAATTATTCTATATTATATTAATAATAATTTTCGACTCCTAAATTAATAATTTTCTCTTTTATTTATTTATTTATTTATACTTTATTGTATATACTAATAATACTTAAAAAAACACGACAGAGGTAAGCAAATGTACAAAAGCGAGCTTAACTCTAAAAGAGTTCTAGAAAACTCAACGTGGAAAGGAGCGTCAATGTCAGCAAGTAGAGTAGTGTACAATACTGTGACAATTAAAAAAAAAAAAGAACTAATCAATGATAAGTTTATACATATATAATTAACTTTATACATTTATAATTATATATATAAATATAGGTATATAAGAAAAATTAATAAGACCTCTTATGGACCTTAAGACCCATAGAGGGTAAAACAATGATTTTTAGAAATTTTGTCTATATTTCTATATGATTGTTTCGGTGTCACACAAAAACTATTGTACCGAATTGAATTGGCTGGAATTTTCACAAATTTTCATAATATTTGATTTACATTTCATTTTAAAGTAGTCCTTTTAATTGGTTTGATTTATGAAATCCATGTGTATGAAACAGCATGCTAAAAGTTAGTAAGAAATAAGTTATAAAAAGCTATACTTTTTACATATACGTATCTCCAACATATATACAGAAATTCAGTATAGAATCCGTTCAAGGAGAGAAACGCTGATTTTCAAGCGCCCCGGTCTAGCGTGGCGTGACACCGCACTCGCCACAAATAACTACTCATTTAAGCATCAAATTGTATCATAAACCCAAAATAATTGATAACATACATTATTATAAACATTCATCAATACAAACTTACATATAATATACCAAATTAAAGCTAGATTCAAATTAATTTGATTCGTGAAGAATCACGCGCGCCGCTCAGTTAACGCCGAGTGCTCGCGGCGTGCGGACGCGACCATGCCGTGATGTTTCGGCCTCTTCTACTATTATACATCGCGACTTTAGTGCAGTGTGAGTATAAGAGTGATTTTGTGAAACATGTACGCCATGGTGGTCGGACCTTAATAAGGCACGGGCGGTCCCGCGTGCATTTCACGCGGATGCACGCGCGCTCGCGCGATTTGGTCGCGCAAGTGATAGAAGCGGAGCGAAGTAGCGAGTTAGGTGAGTGAATCACTTTTTATTAAGGGATTTATTTCTAATCATAATATTTATAAGTTTATCTGAATTAATATTAATAAACGCGATGTAAATTATATAAATGTCAAAATTTTTAAATTGTATTTTATTTCTAATTAAAAAGAAATGTAGCGACTCGAGAGGGAACTTTTTGTTTTTTTTTTTATATATATATATACAATTTATTTTTAAAGTTTTTTTGATAGATTATTTTTTAAGAAACAATTCTAAAAATTCAAAGGAAATTTTATTTGGCAACAAAATTATAATAAAAATATGATTAAAATATATAAAATAATTTTATTCGCATGTGTCTAATGAGTAGGGCTTGTCGTGTAGATGGTGCGGGTTCGAACGCCGGTTTCATCAAAACTTTTTTAATCGTTCAATAAATTACAGGGCATGAAGGCATAATATTTCTATTTCTCACGAAAAGCTTCACAGTAAAATAGTATGTGTATTTATGTTGGCACTCATGCGTTTTAATGGACCATAATCATTTTCCATCTGTATTGGCTGTCAGTTTTTTTGTAATCCCAAATAATATAAAAATATTGTAAATTAATATCATTGTGAAATGTATATTATACTCAATATAGATACATGGATTTAATATATAAATGGCCAAAGATAATTAGAAATACATTTTTTTCCCATTTATGACAATTTTTATTTATTACTTTTTGTAATTAAATATTTTTAATAAAAAGTTTTTATGCCAGTATTAATTTCTGTTGGAGTCTCCAACAAAATATACATATTATAATAATATTACCATTTTTTTTCCATTCCATATTTTACTTTATCGTTTCTAAATATCGTTAAACAAACACATTTTATAGTAAATGTAGAAAAAATAATAATAAATGAATAATAAATGAATAAACGAGTGCACTTTGTTTGCATTATACAATATAAAAAATAAGCAAGAAAATTATATATGATATTATTATATATATATGTATTTATAATAAATAGGTTGTAACCTTAAAACAATAAATATTATGTATATACCTAAACTATATATTTGAATATATAAAAAAGAAATGCCAACGAAGAACACGTATCAAATAGAATATAAAAAAGTATATAAAAAATAACAATTCACAAAAAAGGTCAATTGGTAAAGTTGCCAGCAACAAAAATAATTATGAAATAATTTAATAGTAAACATAACTGAAATTATTTAATAAATAATTAATTTATTGAATAAAAATAAAACAGTAACCCCGTCCGCGCTGTCTACATACGCAAACGATGTGCCAGTGAGAGATAATATGTGAGGGCAAAAGCAGGTGCGTTGGTCCATCGAGACGAATTTTACCAGAGGGAGACTTTGTACAAAAGTCGATTGCTGGGGTACCTCTGTCCCATTCGTGCTTCAACCGTGAAGCAGTTGTGTTTGTATGGCTGTGTTTCAGTTTGAAGGGTGGGATATGGCGTGAATTTACTGGGTACAGAAGAATAACACCTGAGTCCTCAGCAATGGCAACGCATAGGGGGTATCATGGGTGAAACAGTATACTCTGTTATATCCATGGTACTGCTCATGTCTATAGGCGACGGTTACCACTTTCCATCAGATGGGCCGTCAGCTTGTTTGCCATTCTAAGTTGTATGAAAACAAAAAACTGCTTTCATTTGTAGCAAAACCAGTTATTTCGATTTTAAAATTTCAACTTCATATCCTATTTTGATATTTTTTTCTAAAATCAATCTCTAAGTACATTCTTACAGAGAAAAAAAAACGAATCGATTAATAACTGACGGAGTTATGAGGTAATAAAGATAAAAAACACAATTGATTAGAGAACCTCTTTTTTCAAGTCGGTTGAAAAGGAAACGGCAAAACTAATAACAATAATACAAAATTAACTAGCTCGTAGTCTCGGTATAGAATTGGCCACCCCTTCTTTCCCATGGGTGCTATAAAAGACTACTAAGGGTCGGCGAGGGATGGATAGCAGCCTCTCTCTTAAAACATCTCTAAAGCCTGACTGCGGTTGCCAATCCACCCGCCAAACGTGGCAAGCACAGGGACACCCTCCAAGGGAGAGGCTTATGTTCAGCAGTGGATGGTTAAGGGCTGATATGATAAGGATGATGAACTAGCTTTTACCTGCGACTTCGTTCATGCGACACGTATGATATGTTCACTAACCGGGTTAAAAAAATGGTAATCTCTCTCCTTTTCTCTGCATATAATGTATAGCAAAATTTCACGAAGATAGGTAAAGCCATTAAGGCACTTAGACGCAACAAACAAACTCACTTTCACATTTATAATATTAGGATTTATTTATTTATTTAAGGAACACCAACAGTATATTGCATTATAACATATAGGTATAACAAACATTAAATACAATACAATATTAATGCACACGCCTATTATAGGTATTCACAGCATTCACTTTAACATAGTTATACAGTGCGAGAAAATGAAGTAAATAATAAAAACAAACATGTAACCCAAGTTTTGAGCAATATCAGAAAATACGATTATGAGTGAATTTAATTAAAAAATATTAAAAAAAAAAATATATATATATATATATATATATATATATATATTATGATAATTAGAGTTAATTTTTATTAGATTGTTGTACAAAGTGCTTCAGCAATTTATTCCTGTAGGAATTCAAATTCGAATAGGATATTACATAAAGACCTTTTTCATCCATTCAATTTTATTTACCTCAATTTCATGCGTATCAATAAAAAGACATATCGAAAATTGATTATAGGAAATTATCCATTTTAGAAAAAGGGCCATACTGTTGTACCAAAGTAATAAAAAAGACATATTTTATATCAATGTTGATTTGGCAATTTGACTGATCCCATACGACCCTTTTCAAACCCCATGCGAATATTTGATTCTTTTGGTAAACCTCATCGTTATGGAATACGTGTATTTGCACACACACACACATACACACGACCTTCACATAATATTTGGCATACAGATGTGCGTAAGTAGGCATCTTTTATCTCCGTCATTCGAAGTTTTAGGATCAGCTAGATATAATTTTTTTTTTACAACTTAGAATAGCAAACAAGTTGACGGCCCACCTGATGTAAAGTGGTAACCGTCGCCTATAGACATGAGCAGTACCATGGACATAACAGAGTATACTGTTTCGCCCATGAGACCCCCCATGCGTTGCCATTCCTGAGGACTCAGGTGTTATTCCTTTGTAGCCAGTAAATTCACGTCATATCGCAACCTTTAACCCAAAACACAGCCATGCAAACACAACTGCTTCACGGTTGAAACACGAATTGGACAGAGGTACCCAAACAATCGACTTTTGTACAAAGTCTCCCTCTGGTATACAAAGTCTTCCTCTGGTTAAAATTAAATGATCATTTTGTTTAATTCCGCTACCATTATTATATTTTTATACGACTTAGAATGGCAAACAAGTTGACGACCCATCTGATGGAAAGTAGTAACGGTCGCCTATAGACATGAGCCGTACCGTAGACATAACAGAGTATACTGTTTCGCCCATGATACCTCCCATGCGTTGCCATTCCCGAGGACTCAGGTGTTATTTTTTGTAAATAAATTCACTGCCATATCCCACCTTTCAAACCGAAACACAGCCATGCAAACACAACTGCTTTCACAGTAGAAACATGAAAATTTTGTACTTAGTTTAGTATTCTCTAATTCCTTAAAATTGTTTACTTCATTTCATACTGTATAATTATGTTAAAGCAAATGCTATGAATACCTTTAATAGGCATGTGCGTTAATATTGTGGTATATTTAATGTTTGTTATATATATTATAATGCAATATGCTGTTGCTATTCCCAAAAATAAATAAATAAATGGATCACTTAATCAATAGATTTAAGCACAAAGCTTATTATTTATTAACTATATGTAATATAACAGAATTAATTGACGACACATAATACCATCCATTAATGATTCCCTTTGAGCAAAGTGCGCGAGGGAACGTCATAGGATTATTGGATTATTTATTCTTATACTGACTACTATTTAGTCTTACGTTCGCCGTGTTGTCCCGGCATAGAATAAGCCACTCCTTCCTTTCCAGTGGGTGTCGTATAAGGCGACTAAGAGAACTTATAGTCGAAGGATAAGCAGTAGCGTTCCTCTTAAAATATCTCTAAAAATCAAACTGCGATTGCCAAACCGCTTGCATAGTGTGGCAACTACTGGTAAAACTGAGTCCTCAGGAATAGCAACGCATGGGGGGTATTATGGGCGAAACAGTATACTCTGTTATGTCCATGGTACCACTCATGTCTATAGGCAACGGTTACCCTTTTTCCATCAGGTGGGCCGTCAGCTTGTTTGCCATTCTAAGTTGTATAAAAAAAAGTCCCCTTATGTTCAACAGTGGACAGTTAACGGTTGAAATTATAAAAATAATAGTCTATCAGGTCAACCACGGGAAGGTCGGCCTGATAGGGTATAAGCATGAATCTACTAGCTTTTTGTCAGCTATTTGCTACACGTGAATTCCAGAAGTAGGAAAACCAATGAAACACGCTACTTTTAGATAGTATATCAAGATAAATTGTACATCAAATTTTATGTAAAATGTTCTGGGACATAACTATGAAAAGCGCTTTCAAGTTTTTTTTATTGGATGACAATGGAATAGTAACTCCGCCTGCGCTAACGGGATACGCTGGCGGGGCACCAGTGAGGGATGATAGGTGACGATGAAAACAGGCCAACTTTTATGATGAATTCATCAGGAATTAACCATGATAGTTTCCAGGGGGAACCGTGTGGAGGTTGACCTGTCTGGATATATTGCTAGCAATGGGATTCTTAGTCTCCGTTACTAACAATCCCTTTCCCCCCCTAACCGCTTCTAATTTGGTGCAGTAGTTATTGTGTGGTGTTGGAAGAAACATACAAATAGATAGAGTGATAAGATTTCTAATAAATATTATTTTTGCTTCAGTTGCTCTGATATATTTTTTCTTAAA